TAAGCACTAGTCTCATGGACTTTAAATGTTTTGACAGCAGTGTGTAAAAAGGGCGTAGCACGCTTTCATTTGAAAACTTGAAGGAGTTTCATTATCGTTTAAATATTTTCGTTCAAAAGAAAGTATTTTTGAATGTTTAGTTTATTTTATGAACATCTACATAAAAGCTTGTTTTTTAAAATGTTTTTTTTTAATTTATATCTGCCTAGGTACACGACTGTGTATTTGCGAAAATAATCACACCTCGAGCCTCAAATTCGTTTCGTGAATTACGTACGGCGTTTTTCAACTCCAAGACTGTGTACCTAATTACATGTATTGTCTCTAATGGTTAGCTTACCGATAACCACTAACCATTAACTGAACGTTATATATACCTCACCAACTTACTTTCCCAATTTAGTCGTTTCGGCTGTTTACTTGCGTTAACTTGCAGTTGGATAGTGATAGTTTTGGTGATAGTTGGATAATGAGTTTTTTGGATGATTTGATCACTAAGGAATCCGAGAATAGTACTAAAGGTTTGCGATTTTAATATAGTTTTTGTCAATTTAAGTGTTAGTTAAATTAAAGCTTGGTCTTGTAACTTTATTGCTGATTCAATTCATAGTTAATTTTTTCAATTTTGTCATTCAATGAATTTGGAAATTTGGAATTTCAATTCATTGATCTGATTACCTTTATCTTGTGTATGTCACAATTCCAATGTTTGATATACCCGTTCAATATCTTTGGGTTTTGAAAGTTTGGATTACATGGCGATAACTTTTTCAATAAATTTGAATTAGTCGTAGGTACCTGGCGAGGTATGAAGCCGAGTTTTGTATTTTAAATATCTGTGGTAAAAAAGGCACAGAATATATTCGTGGTAAGTGAAAAACTATTCACTATATTTCAGAGCTTTCAGTATCCTTATGGAGTCTTTTTTGAACTTGATGGTTCATTACGACTAGGCTTATACAATGGCTTTTTCAACGCTATGCAATAGCTTTTCAGATTCTAGAAATTTCAAACAATATATCATTTATTCATATTAATCTATGAAGATCGTAGATAAATTTGAATCCACAAAAGGACAATCAAATACATTAAATAAAAGCAAATGGGTATTAACAAGACATATAAAATAACTGATGCGTTATACAGTATTTGCGGCATTTTGGATCATGAATTTTAATTTATATCTTTATGAATGTGGGTTCTTTTTCTCAAAACAGGTCTACATATATATGTTAATACGTTATAAATTGGAATTTCCCTGAACGAAGTTTTCACTTTTTAAATCTATTGCGAACATTACAATTTTTTCTGGTATGTTGATATATAATGATGGAGCCTGATAGAATTTAACATTTTTTTGACTTAGGTTGTCTATTTATAATTTTTGTACAGTACACAATTGTTATTTTTATGTCATTCTTATTTTAATCGCGAGCATTTTCGAAAATGAGATATGACATGTCTGAACGCTAATCTTATGACCTAGCCTATAACTTAAGAAGTACCGATCGGATAACGATAAAATTTCTACACAATGTTGCTACTATGACAAGGATGCAAAAGCGTAGTTTTTGGAAATCGGTCCAGTGGCTGCGGAGAAAAAGGCCAAAAACCAAAATAAATCGCTGTAAGTTCATTTTATTCCTGTTTTTTTTTTGGAGGGGTTGCAAATTGGGCGTTAGCGGTTTCAGGGTGTGGAGGTCGGTACACCACAATTTTTTGACGTCGGTACATTTATACGCCTCCAATCCCATATGTTAGGCATATTTCACTCATCATAGATGATCTTAGAAATATCTCCTAGAGTCGGTTGTCGATACATGAGACGTTGACCCCGATGGACAACCGCCGTCATCGGAGGTCGTACGTCACAGTCGGCAATCGCTTCCAGACTACTGTGGCCTGCGTGAATGCATGGTGAAGGCCAGTATCGTAATTCACGCGGGATTGGTCATCGCAACGATTATGTGCACCTGCAGCAATTCCTCTCAGGGATTTGTGGCTAACTTTTTTATCAGGAGGACTAACTTGAGCCAATCATAATCCTTTACGAACTGATGACAGCGTAGCGTGAGAAGTACCAAGTCAACTAACTTGACGCCGTTTTTAATACATAACTTTTCTGTATTCATTGTTTCTGTTTCTGAATAGAAAAGGTCAAATGGGTGTAACCAATGTGATTACCTATATGTCCCGTGTTCAGCGTAATCGTCTCTTCGTTTCGTTTTCTGTCCTGGTGTCTCCGACAAATAGGTACCATACCTAGATACGCAAAATTGTCCCGTCTTCTCAAACCACGCGAAAGCAAGAGATTCGTTGGTGCGTCAATGCAGGAGCCTAAGCCCCACATTCATCGACTTACCTCTTCACTTTAATTTTTGGTAACTCTAGGTATAATATAATTCAAAACTGGCATCAGTAGGCTTTTCATGTCATTCTTATGGCAGTCAGGTTACTATGATAGTTAGGCTTTGCCATTTCTCGAATACCATACTGTTCTCAATTTACTGAGAAAGGAGGCCTTGCTTTGTTGTTGTCAAACTAGAAAGCTGGTCAAACTTCATTTAGCGAGAACTTGGTCTGGCACGAACAGATCCGCTAAGTCACGGCAGCTGCTGAAAAGAACTTGGGCTTTCTGTTATCTGAGGACGTACCTCTCTCCAAATGACCCTCTTGCTCTTCGCAAGCCCTAGATAATAGCTAGTCTCGAGTACTGCTCACAAGCGTGGAGTGTTGCAGCTCCAACTACACTGTCCATGCTTGATACTGTATAGAGGAGGGCTGTCCGACTCATCGATAACGATTTTCCTAATGAACGATTCAGCATTTCGCACATCAGCAAGTGGTCGGTGATCTCTAACCCTTTCCAGATATGCCAGCGGACTTTGCTTATCTGCTCTAACTCTATTAAATTCTATACAGGATAATAATAATAATAATAATTCATTCATCCTGTGGATCACAAAGTGACATAGGATAAGTCAATTGAATATTGTATAAACATACATAAATAACATTCAAAATTTCAAATAAAAACACGAAGTGTATAAACATGAAAACGAATTAAAATAACAAATTAACAACTTAAAATTGAACAATACATTAAAACAATTAAAAAAGACTATCACTCATTAAAAACTCTTCTATAGAGTAGAAAGCTTTATCAAGTAAAATTTGCCTGATTCTTTTTTTAAATAATATCAGCGGTAGTGATTTACAATCAATGGATAGTTTGTTGGGGAGTTTTATTGCCATGTATTTGGCACTCTCCTCCGGTCTAGACAACCTATGTGCCGGCACCAATACTTCTCTGTTTCTGGTATTATAAATTCCAGAATTTATAGAACTAAAATTGTCCAGGTGAGTTTTGACGTAAATCAATATATTCAATATATATACTGAATGCAGCGTTAATATCTTCAAAGCTGTGAATAGTTCCCTGCAACTAAAGCGCCTTCCCACCTTTGCAATAGGTCTAATAGCTCATTTTTGTAATATAAGAAGCCTTTGTAACTTGGAGGATGCTCCCCACGCTTCTATTCCATAAGTCAGAGTAGAATGGATAGGTGCATTGTAAAATATTAACAATATCCACTTATCAACGATAAAACTCAGCTGGTACATGCAATAGCAAAGAGGGGTAATCTTTTGACCAACTTGCTCTATATGCGTATCCCATTTGCAGTTTTGCGATATGTGTATTCCTAAAAATTTTATAGTTTCTGCTTGTTCCATGGATCTACCGCTGGATTTGATAAAGAGACTACGATCCATGTGCATATTAGAGTAGTTAAATCTCAGGAACACTGTCTTTTTGTGGTTTAAGACCAGGCCGTTATTAATGAACCATTGCTCTACACCAGCTAAGTTTGCGTGGGCATTTCCTATCGCTGACTCCAGGTTTTTGCCATTAATAAGTAATGAGGTATCGTCAGCATACATTACCGAGGATTTGGCGGGAAAGTCATTGACATATATTATGTATAGGAGGGGACCAAGTATTGAACCCTGTGGAACCTTGTATGATATAGGTGCTGGTCAGACTGTGCAGTCAGTACTTCAACATAATGTTATCTGTTGCTTAGATAACTGTGGAACCAGTCAAATGGCTTACCTCTGATTCCATATCTATCCAATTTATCCAAAAGTATTACATGGTCAACTAAGTCAAAAGCTTTTCTAAAGTCAAGAAATATTCCTACACACTTTTCGCCATTGTCACACCTTGAATACTCGGTAACTTTGAATTTTTTCAAAAAAGGTAACTACAATCAAGAAATGTATCATTGGCCTTGAATATGATATAGATAATGACCTTTAAGATCATATGGAGGTCAAACTTGAAAATTTAAATAGCAAAAGAGAAGTACACGAACATAGAGAAAATTAGGTAAATACGCGTTTTTATGCAAAAAAAAAAATCGTCACCATGACCCAGTTAGTGACCTCGGAACAGAACTCTCTTGGAGGTATGTAAAATCCACCCAGAAAACATGGAAACCATGCATCTTTCCGAAAAGAGAATCTAAAGAAAGCTTCAGTAAGTCAAAACAGCAATGTTTGACCAAAAATATGACTTCAGAGGTCAGGTTTGTAAACTGAAATAGCAACCACCATTTTTCACAGCAGATTTGTGTCTTGTTCGGTTACTATCTAGGTAAAATTTGAGGTTAAATTGCTTTTTTGATATCCTAAAACTTCGTTGAAGCACGTTTAAAAAATGTGTATCTGCTGAGTATCTGAGGTGTTTGGAAATTTAGTACTTAGATCTAGGGCTGGCACGTACGATAGATACATACTTTGTTTCCAGGGTATCTAGATTGCGGAATAAACTACTACCTAGTAACATCAGGTATTTCAAGTACCGGATCGAACATATACTCGTAACTACTATCTCTTTATAACAGTCGCAGTAGCTTGGTTTCTGCATCCGCGTCTTTTCAGTACAAACAAATTTAAACCAATTGCGATTTAAAATAAAATAACGTTTCATTTTACAGATACTCTCCACATGGACAATTCAACTTTACCAGAGTTGAACAGTGAACATGACCAACAGTGCCTTACGCCGATTCAAGATTTCTACAAGGACACGAATATCTTCATTACAGGCAGCACAGGATTTCTGGGGAAGATTTTGATAGAGAAGCTACTGAGAAGCTGCAAAGATGTGTCGACATTGTATCTTTTGGTCAGGAGCAAGAAAGGAAAAAATGTCCATACTAGGTAAGATATGCAGTACAACATAGATTGTTTATCTATTTCCCTTTATCTGCTCAGTAAATTAAGCCACTGATGATCACTAGTGGCGTTTCGACTGGGCGCTACATCTTTCAAGTTTTTCGACGCTGTTATGTCGGTACCCTTATTACATAACTGCAAATCAACGGAGATAGTGATATGGTTGTCATAATTGTCATATAGGAACAAGCTGTCATTCACGTCGTGTTCACTTGTAGTAGCTGTGTGTGTTGCCTAAGCGTCAACATACTTGCGCTATGTGCTGCGGCTCTGTAATGTAACGTTATGTTTCAGAGATGGCACTAGTGGAGGCTATTTCTGATTGCTATTCTCTGAGCTGTGAGTTCTATACTATAGGTAGTTGTGCCATTACTCAATAGGTGGCGTTCACAGCGAGTAGGCGTGACGTCGGCTAGTGACTAGCTAGTAAATAAGTGACAAGTATGGCGATCAAATCTGTATCATAGCGATTAGTTTAGATACTACAAGTGTCAGTCTATAAAGTCGATACTAATAATGCGTTTATATAAAGTCACCTAACCTAACTTAAGGATGTTAGTATTTTCCATATAACAGGATAGGTCCGGTTAAGTTTAACTGAGTTAAATTAGGCTACCATTAGCATGACTACGCTCAGATTTTTCACATCTAGCAATTGATGGACCTGTTTTTTAAAAATGATGGCACTATTTAAGGAAAAATGGGCAGTTTGTCCCAAACACTGAAGTACCGTCATGCAAAGATAAAAAACATACTGGGCAAAACGAAATCGCCAGAAAGTATAGGTTCATTTGTGTATTAGCATCTTGGTTTTATGTTACAGAGTTGAAGAAATATTCGACGACATCATTTTCGAAAGGTTGAGAAAAGAATGTCCGAAGTTTAGACACAAGGTAGTGGGGATAGCAGGTGACTGTACATTGCCTGACTTGGGACTCTCGATCGAGGATAGAAAACTACTCATGGATAAGGTAATTTTGAAAATATCAATCAAAATGTGTTTTAGGTGTCAGGGGCAAAAATAAACAAATAGTTGCTTGTGTATCGAGAGAGCAAAAAGCTCTCTCTCTCCATTGTCAGTCTGTAAGTAGTTGCGATCGATATTGCTACTTTTTAGCTAGAGAGGATATTTACGATTGACCTTTAGAAAACATAAGTTTTGCATGCTCGACACTGAGCGACAGAATGTACTTTTTTGGTTGTTTGTAGGAGAAATAAGTATTTTATCAGTTAGACTGCGAAAGGTGCATATCAGTAACACGCAATATTGAATGTACTATAAATACATTATCCATTTTTGTGTAGGTAAAAATTGTCAGACATATTTTTTAAATGCATAAGTGGTGTACTCGTATTTTATATTGTTTGTTTTGTCTGTCAGGTACATATCTTTGACCCAACTTATCCTTGAATCTAAAATATGGAGATCTATGAGTATTGCTTAAATGATATATTAGAACACACAAGGAAACCTTTACACTCAATCAATTCATTTGCATTTGCCTAAATTTGACTACGAAAAATCCCAGACACATCTTACGTGATAAAAAACCAAGAAAGCATTAGCGCTATTCACTCATTACCAAGATACACATACTTAAAAATCCCAATGAGCAGATGGCCATGACAGTTTGACTAATTATTTGTATCAACATACACACATACGTGGATGATACACAATAAATAAAAAAATACTGTTACCATACCTTTCCGTATAATTTCTTTTAACATATTCAAAGTGATCTTGAACTTACAATGCCTTATTAATTTTCATGATTACACACCAGCAGAATGATTACACATTACTTCTATCAGCTGTTGAATTAATCAATAAATCATAAGCTGTGCTGTCCTACTGTTTTTCAACGGAACAAACTAGCATACTTTGTAGTGACACAAATGATCTATGCATGTATTCTAAAGCACAAGTGACAGATGAAAATTTGAAGATTAGGATAATGCGTCGACTTGCAACATTTCATTTATACGGAATGTGCGGTCGCATGTTACATCAATTTGAAGCTCATTATCACCATAGGATATAAAATTACCATCTTTTAAAGAGATAAACTGGAAAGCGATCATATTTTAGCTCTTTTATACATCGCTTATGAATGTATCTTAAAAATAAATTATAAAAATGTCATTTTTTCAAAACTGGGATGCTTTTTATTCTGTTGCAAGTTTATAGAGGTCATTCGAAAGAAAGTATATAACATATTATAGCGTTTTAATGATTCATTGTTGAGTTTCTTGCGATCCCTTGTAGAAAAGCGTTCCAAAAATTAGACCTAGCTGACAACTTTTCTTCTCTGACTCTTAGCTAAAACATAACATTTTTACATCAATTTCATTATACCGAATTTCAGCTTGCTAGCTAGATACATCCAAATATAAAAGAAGGGAGGGTAGACTTACACTATGTGTACGTATACTAGTCAGCACTGTGTCAAAGATCAGACCCAATTTCGGTCTTTGACGTAAAATTAGTATCAAAGTCGAGCTTAAATATCATTTTTATTGACTGAATTAGCAAGAGCTTAGCATTTCATTTATGTATGCATATAACTTTCGTCATACGAAGGAATGTTACGTGAAAATTTACACACATATACCAATAAAAAATATAAATATTTATGAAAAATGAAAGATTACCTTCTATACCATACACCATACAAGGACTATTCTTCAACGAACATCTGTATCACTCAATTTCATCAGTTGTTTAAGAGCTTGTTCCATCGTACGAAGAAGTGAGACTGTCACCCCTTACCGAGACCTGTGTTCGGTTATTTGCTTTGCGTTGGCTGTCTCTAATGACTACACCTATACCATACTGATGATTGCTGAAAAGCATCAACCAACGCTGTATACGGTTGGTTATATTCGCAGATGTGGAAAGCAAAATGATCATATCCTACCCGTTATTCAAAAGTATCTAGAAAATGTTTACGATACCAGTATCCTTGATAACCATTTTTAGTTATTTCTTGAATACATATTCATAGGTGAAAGAAGTGTTGTCACGAAAAATTGGGCATTGCATTAATATACCGCTTTTTGATAGCAGATGTTTTTTTAATGTCTCGTTCATTACATCATTTCCGTGAGTCGGTCGTTCTGTCTGTTAGTGATTTTGTCATCTGAGAAACTGCTGCATTGGTTTTGATAGAATCTTAATAGAGATGCGCTATGGGGTCATAGAAAGGAATGCAACTTCATTCTTTAAAATCGGTGCAGAGGCAGCGGAGGTATCGAGGAAAGGCAAAAACCTTTCTGTTCGTTCCCAAGCTTACTATTTGTCCGTATCACAAGTTCTTGATAAGCTTTGGGCTATCAAAAAAAACTGGTCACGTAAAAGTTTTGGTAAATTTTCACCTTTCTGAATGTTTCTGGTCACTTTAGGTTGTAGTCAAACCATTTTCAATAAGCTCTAATTTTTTTGAAATTGGCGGGGCAAGATGTATAAATTAGTAATAATTTAAAATAGAAAGGAATTATTGTAATCGCAAGGAAATTAAAAAAATTAGATGTTATGTTTTTGGACGTTATTTGACATGTACATCACGAAAAACTGTCACTCATATTCGTCTGCCTGTCTGTCTGCGATCTATCTGTCCGCTAATCCTTTTCCCGTCTATAGGTGTATAAGTACTTCTCGAATTGATGATGATTTTCTTGGGTCTGTGGGTCTGCCTATTAGTGATTTTGTCATCTCAGAAACCACTGCATCGGTTTCGATAAAATCTTGATAGAGATATGCTGTGGGGTCAAGAAATGTATAATAATAGTAATTATGTTTATAGGAAGAAAAATACAATTTACTAGCAAAAAAACATGTCCGCAATAAACATACACAACACCACAAAATCAAATGCTTGTGCGTGGGGGAATGTACATTACATATTGAGGTCGACAACTTTTAACTTATCATTGCCCTGCTAGAAGATTTTTACCTATAAGACACTGAATATTTATAGAAAACGTTATTGAAATATACAATGCATTGACAGTTTTATTTTAATTTTTAAAACCCCCATCTAAAAAACAGTAATATAAAAATATCACCTAATCAACAGTTTATTGATTTGTTAAAATATCTACATTTTTTTCAAAAGATACTTAAGACAAAGAAAATAGTACTGAACTTTATCGATAAAAAACATCATAGATGAGTCAAATATTTATATCATATTTAATAAAATTGGTAATAGATTTTTTTAAATTTCAAGATGACACACTAAATGCAAATGTAAAATTTTACCTATTTTCTATGATTCTGTGAACTGGTTCTTGTCCGTTTTCAAGTAGGATTTTTTTATTTCTTTTTAAATTTTGATAACGAAGCTATTTCTTTACTTCATCAGGCAGAAAGTTATATAAGCGACTGACGAGATACGTATAGTATCTTTGTCCTATTTGTTTAGTAGATAAAAGAGTCCTGCTTAATTTATTAGTTTGGTTCATAGTCGAATAAGTATATGGTATCTTGATAAGCATTGTGCTAAAAAAAATGGTCACGTCCAAAAATTTCACCATGTTTCAGGTTTGTGGTCAAAACCAGGTGTAGTCGAACCATTTTTAGAGAACTCTAAATTTTTTAAATTTGGCGAGGCCATATTTGTAATAAGTTAATAATAGAATATATTTGTGAGGATTTTCACTGTCTACGCATGGATAACTTGAAAATAGGCTCAATCGAATGTCTGGGAGGTATAAAATCGGAATATTCAACTTATTTTCTCATTTCCGATGCAACTGGCAAGGAATTATTGTCATGTAAAATAAGGCATGTTTTGGACGATAATAATTGATATTTACATCACGAAAAACAATGTTACTCATTTTCGTCTGTCTGTCAGTCGGTCTGTCTGTCCGCTAATCATTGGCCCATCTATATAAGTACCCCTCGAATTACGATGAAATTCATTTTCAGAGACTCCTAGTCATTTTCGAAAAGAAATTTGTGGTGGTTGAAAATTGGTGGTTGGGGGTTGTAGGCGGTGGGTGGAGAGTATATTCCTTTTCTGGCGTTAATATGTATATACACTTCTAGGCACCTATTGGATATATTTCAGACATTATAGATTTCCCCTTACGCTTGTCCTCAAAAGTTGAATTATGAATATGTATTTGATGTACCCGTGTTGGACAACTCAACGAGCGCGCACCCCTATACTTTGGATAGCTGAGGATGCGTCTGCTGCTCTCTGGGTTTACCGGCACCACATTCTCCCTAGTGAGTGTCGTGACGTCACAGCATATAGAGCGGTGAAGTATGGGGGAGGGTCGATGTTGTCAGATGGACGGCCGTATCGGTACGACAGAGAAAACATGCCTATGGACTAATTGTGTGCATGTTTGACTGCCTTGATGCGTTTAATTTCACTGCTGTAAATGTTTGTAATTACCTTTATGCTCAGCAGGTCTAACTTATTCCGAACATAATTCTCTATTATATTTGACGCCATTTTTTTCTTTCAGGTAAACGTAGTATTTCACGTGGCTGCCACGGTACGGTTTGACGAGAAGCTGAACATCGCGGTTGCAATCAACGTAAGAGCTGGCAGAGATTTGCTACAGTTGGCCAGAGAAATGAAGGATTTAAAGTCCTTCATTCATGTCTCCACTGCATTTTCAAACTGTGCAGCAGACTTGACCGAAGAAAAATTCTACGAACCTGTTGTGGATTATAAGAAGGTCATGATGATGGCTGAGTCTTTACCAGAGAAGATGTTGGATAAAATCACCCCAGTGTAAGTTACAATGGTATATCAGTTTTCATGCCTCCGGTCTATCAACACCCAGAATTCACTAAACCAAACAAGTTCATTATTCATAACATCAGAAATTTATTCCAGAGCTGCAGTTTTTTGTGCACAAGATATATCAACACTGACAATTTAATAAACAAACTGTTTTATTATTATTCAACGACGTTAATTAAGAACATTACCAATTTATATGAGAGTCGTGGCTCGTGTTCACGTCGACTGCTCTTCGGTGACCGACTGACTCTTTCCAATTGCCTGTCTTTTGTACCTTCGAAAAATTCGAGGGTTCTTAAGAAGACTCTAGGCTCCTAAGTTTCGGTGGCCACTAGCAGATGGCGCTTGCAGCAGCACTGCCATCTTACTACCGTTAGTAGACGGCGCTAAAATACAAAATATATGTTTTTATGTTTTACTAGTACATGTAAAGATATAAATATTTTGTTTATTTCAAAGTAATTCGTGGCAGGCAAACCCAATGTAATTTAAAACAACTCATAACTGACAATGCTAAATAACAAGTTAAAAGTAGGTATGTGTTAAATTATCCAACTAGGTCAAAATAAATCAAACCGAAACCACCCAAAGTAAATAACTTAACGGATTATACCCGATAATATACATAGATGGCTACATTGGTTTGTGGTTCTAGTAAAGACCTTTTATTAAGTCGTCTTACTTGTTTCTGCTATACGTCTGCACTGTTTGAATTTAACAAATCGGCGAATAGGTCATTATGCGTCTTTGGGGTAACGAATGTTCAAAAAACCTTGAGACATTGTATTGCGAAAAAGAATCATTAGAGGATTTATCCTTACATAAATTTTTCTCAGACCCATCCAAGGAATTACTCTGTACATCAGCATAAAAGGGGTACATGAATTCAAGCTCAAAATGAGTCAACCATAGCCTTAATCAAGCAAGTTTTCATCATTTCTTAAACCCTGTGCGTGTATTTACGGCTTTATAGAAAAACAAATGTTGATCTAAAAAAAATTACATGCCCTGAAACTCAGAGCAAGAGAGTCAGAGCCCGATCTTATCGCAAGTTTGCGTAATTTTTGAACCTCGTGCGCCTGTTCATCGTTAAAAGGAGTAGGCGAACTAGCCAAAAAATGGGACCTGTTCAAGAGAAAATTCTACAAAGGAATTATGTTCTTAAGAGCTAGTAAGAGGTCTTCCCTTCAGAAATACAAAAAGTTTTGCTATGCAAGGTTTATTAAACATTAAACTTCAAAAAACTATAAAGTACCTCTAAGCAAGACCTGATTTATGTCGAATATGTCCAATTTGCCTCAATGGCCATATAGCTAGACAGCTTGTAAGAGAAGGCAACAAATTAGTAGCTATTAAACATTTTTAGAATATGTTAGGCATCTTTTATGAATTGTCTTCTGGATATTAACACCTACAAAGGGTTGAAGTTTCAACTGCTATTTCACATCTTTCCAAAAATAAATTCGGAAGTCGGCGATTCTTTGGCGTAAAAAGTTATCGCTGTAAAAAGCTAAATGGATAAGGCCTTATCTTGGAAATATTTTTGTGCTCTACAACGATTCTCTAAAATAGTTCATAGTTTTCTAAATATAAGCAAAGTAATAATTTTTCGTTTCAACTTTGGCGGTTAATAAAAAAATATCCAAAAAGATGGAGAACCTTTTTATTTACTATCAAGAACATATTTTTGTTGTAAAATTCGTCTATATATTTATTTCGGAAAGTGTAGATACCCTGATGTCACAGTGTGACAATAACTCATCATCCAGCTCTCGAAAGTTGACCTATTTCTCAGGTCACCGGAAAATGTATAAGAATTACGATTTTATGGTTATTTTAATTTGGAATAAGTTGATTCACCGAATGATGGGTTTACATCCCAATAGCAACCAACTACGAAAGTCGCCTGCCTTGACTGAAAAGTAAAATTCCATTGACTACGAGATGAGTGTTAGGCGTTTGAATAAAATATCTTTACGACATCAGTCACAGAAAAATACCTGCATATCATTATTTGATCGGCATATATTTGTTGTGAATAAGTATACCAAAAGTTTACTGTAGCTGTTATATATTTAAAATTGGTCAAAGTAGCGACATCTAGTGTCATATGTCGTTACTACTGTGTTTGTCCACTATGTGCATGTCACTCTGTAATGTCAGAGTAGTTGCAATATACCATCATAAGCGTGAACAAGTGTTTTCTTTCATCTCGCTAATCTCGCTTTAAGTTGCGTTTAAGTTCGGGTTGAACTGTGAAAAGTGTGTAAACTCTGTTAAAAAACATCAGGTTATGGGCCCAGACCCACAGTAGGACACCCAGCAGCGAAACTTTAGTGAATCGAGACGTTGAAAGAAACTGTCGTGACGCAAGTGTTTCTCACAGAACAAATATGGCCGTCAACTACCTGACGAGTGTGCCAAGGCTTTTAGGCCGTGAGAATTATGATGAATGGGCGTTTGCCGTCGAGAATGTGTTTGTGCTAGAGGGCTTAAACAAATGCATCGAAGGTACCGAGACCGACACAACGACCCTAGCAAAAGCAAAGGCCAAGCTAGTATTAACCATCGATCCATCTTTGTTCCCGCATGTCAAAGATTTAACGACTGCACAAGAAGTATGGACCAGTCTCAAACGTTTATATGATGACAGTGGTTTCATGCGAAAGATTGGACTTTTACGTACACTCATATCGGCAAGATTAGAGAATCATGATAGTATGGAGTCGTACATAAACCAGATTGTTGAGACTTCCCAAAAGTTACGCAGAACAGGTTTCAAAATAGACGAGGAGTGGGTAGGATCATTGCTGCTGGCCGGTCTTCCAGACAAGTACGCACCAATGATCATGGCCGTCGAGCACTCAGGAATCTGCATAACCACAGATTCAATAAAGACCAAGTTATTGGATATGCAGACAGATGGCGCTAGTGGTAATGGAAATGCAGGTGCATTCTCCGCCAAGAAACCGAGTTTTCGGAAACAGTCGCGAGGTGGCGCTAGTAGGACGAATTTCAAAGGAAAATCAGCTGGTGCTAGCCAAGCGGGAATGTCAACAAACACAGATGATTTCGGGGTTCAATCGAGGTCAAGTTCAAACAGTGGTTTTGGAAATGGACATAATAAAAAGGATCTGAGTAATATTGTGTGTTACAAGTGCAAAAAGACAGGACATTTTATGTCAAAATGCCCTAACAATAACAGACTTGAAGGAGGATTTAGTGCCGTGTTTACAACAGGTGATTTTAAGGTCACAGATTGGTATGTTGATAGTGGTGCCAGCAAGCATTTAACTGCCAATAGCCAGTGGTTAAAAAACAGGAGAAAGCCTGACTTACCTGATATTGTAATGGCTAACAAATCGAAAGTTGTTGTGGAATGTGCAGGTGATGTTGAGATCAAAACAATGACCAATGAACAGCACAAGATTTTACTAGAAGGTGTACAGTATATTCCTGGTTTAACAACTAACTTATTATCAGTAGGCCAGTTAATCAATAATGGAAATAGAGTAAGTTTTCATGAAGAGGGATGCAATATTTACAATAAAGTTGGTGTATCAGTAGCTACTGCTAGTCTACATAACAACGTTTACAAGTTGAACGTTTGTGAGGAGCCAGTGTGTTTTCAAGCTGTAAGTAGCAATTTATGGCATCAACGTTTAGGTCACATTAATGACAGCTACCTGAATAAGACAGCCAAGTTGGTTGATGGTCTTATCTGTAATGGTACAAGCATTGGGAGTTGTGAGGTATGCTGTAGGGGCAAGCAAGCCCGTTTACCTTTTCCCAAAGAAGGCAGTCGAGCACAGCAACTGCTAGAGGTCATTCATAGCGACATTTGTGGTCCTATGGAAACAACATCTATTGGTGGAGCTAAATATTTCCTGACATTTATAGATGATTACAGCAGAATGTGCTTTATATATTTCCTGAAGACAAAAGATGAAACTTTTGATAAGTTTAAGCAATTTAAATCATTAGTTGAGAATCAACAGAATGTTAAGATTAAGATTTTGCGAAGCGATAATGGTGGGGAATTCTGTAATAGAGAAATGGATAGTTTTTTAAAGAATTCAGGCATCATACACCAGACTTCGAGCAGTCACACTCCGCAGCAAAATGGGATGGCTGAGAGGTTCAACCGGACCATTGTGGAGAAGGCTAAGTGTCTTTTATTTGATGAGAGCTTGACCAAGGCATTATGGGCGGAAGCGTGTAATACTGCTTGTTACCTGAAAAACCGTTCAGCATGTTCAAAGCTTTCAATGACACCATATGAGATTTGGACAGGTAAGAAACCAAATCTTAGTCATCTTAGGGTATATGGGAGTACCGCCATGGTTCATGTTCCGAAGGTCAGTAGGAACAAGTGGGACGAGAAGTCAGTGAAGCATGTGCTTGTTGGGTACGATGAAACTACCAAAGGATATAGGTGTTTTAACCCCAGAACAAGGAAAGTCATAGTAAACCGTGATGTAACAATCATAGAGAAACCAAGTTTGGAAATTCCAAGTACAGTGTTGCCGGATAGTGTTCCAGATAAGCAAAGGGAAGTTCCAGATTCAGTGGGAGAGCAGAATCCCATGTATTCAGATGATGAATCTTCTGAAGATGATGTATACTTCTCGGATGATGATGAATATGTGCCTGAAGGTCAGTGCCATGACTTGTTTGATAATGGTGAACAAGTAACTCCAAGAAGATCCCAAAGACAGATCAAGAAGAAGAATTTTCAAGATTTTGTGACATATTTTGGAGGTGTTAACAGCAAGGGTGAAGTCTATGACTCGAGTATCCCTACATCAGTGACTGAGGCTCTTTCAAGGCCAGATGGGCAGAAGTGGAAAGAAGCTATGTCAGAAGAAATACAGTCATTTATCGATAATGACACTTGGGAATTAGTAGATCCGCCAGAAGTTGGTACAGTGGTGCAGTGCAAGTGGGTATATAAAGTGAAGAGTGATAATGAAAGCCATAACCGGTAT